AGTAAATATTTTTCAGCTTGTCTGCATTTTGTTCGTGTTGCCCAAACATATAACATCACATGTGCAACAGAGAAAGTGATATTTAGATGTGTGAATAAAGGGAAACAATCGCAAGATATATTTTTAGCGTGCATACATAAACATAATTTTGTCCCTTAGTTAAAATCGATTAAAGTCTGTTCGCGATATAAAGCAGCAATAGCCTCGGTGAAAACGTGGTCCTGATACTGTAGACTTATCCACATAAATAATGGTGAAGTACATACATTTATGGTGTCACGACTCAGCGAAAGGACAAAAGATAACTACACTACGCGGTAGAGGATAGTGAACACACTGCGGTGTGGCCAACGCAGCTATGGGGACCGAGTATGCACCCGGATAAGAATTACACAAGGCAGGAAAGCTGGCGAGAGACTGAGTTTCTTTCAGGCAGACTGTGAGGAGAGGGCCATTCTGCAAATGATGATAAGACACCTTTAGGGATCATTTTGGAAGTATGTCTTACTCCAGCCATACTGGACTACAATTATTTCGTAAGCGTTTTGTGGTGTCCCAATATAACTGTACTGTTTGGCTATACAGATGCAGTGGGATTTACGCCAATTTGATTCTCATGATTAAGATCTTCATCCTACAGAAAGCAAACCTGGAGAGATGAAACCTAGAGAGATAAAACCTGGAGAGATGAAACCTGGAGAGATGACACCTGGAGAGAAGAAACCTGGAGAGAGGAAACCTGGAGAGATAAAATCTAGAGAGATAAAACCTGGAGAGATGAAAACTAGAGAGACTAAACATGGAGAGATGAAACCTGGAGAGATGAAACCTGTAGAGATGAAACCTGAAGAGATGAAACCTGGAGAGATGAAACCTGCAAATGAAACCTGAAGATGAAACCTGGAGAGATGAAACCTGGAGAGATGAAACATGGAAAGACGAAACCTGGAGAGATGATACCTGGAGAGATGAAACCTGGAGAAATGAAATCTAGAGAGATAAAACCTGGAGAGATGAAACCTAGAGAGACAAAACATAGAGAGATGAAACCTGGAGAGATGAAACCTGTAGAGATGAAACCTGAAGAGATGAAACCTGGAGAGATGAAACCTGGAAATGAAACCTGGAGATGAAACCTGGAGAGATGACACCTGGAGAGATGAAACCTGGAGAGATGAAACCTGGAGAGATTACACCTGGATAGATGAAACCTGGAGAGATGAAACCTGGAGAGAGGAAACCTGGAGAGATGAAATCTAGAGAGATAAAACCTGGAGAGATGAAACATAGAGAGAGAAAACACGGAGAAATGAAACCTGGAGAGATGAAACCTGTAGAGATGAAACCTGGAGAGATGAAACCTGGAGAGATGCAACCTGGAGAAATGAAACCTGGAAATGAAACCTGGAGATGAAACATGGAGAGATGAAACCTAAAGAGATGAAACCTGGAGAGATGAAACCTAGAGAGTTGAAACCTGGAGAGATACAACCTGGAGAGATGAAACCTGGATAGAACAAACCTAGAGAGATGAAACCTGGAGAGATAAAACCTAGAGAGATAAAACCTGGAGAGATAAAAGCTGGAGAGATAAAACCTGGAGAAATAAAACCTGGAGAGATAAAACCTGGAAAGATACAACATGGAGAGATAAAACCTGGAGAGATAAAACCTGGAGAGATAAAACCTGGAGAGATAAAACCTGGGGAGATTAAACCTGGAGAGATGACACCTGGAAAGATGAAACCTGGAGAGGTGAAACCTGGAGAGATGACACCTGGGGACAGATGAATAGGGTGCTAACCTATACATAACAAAAGAGATGACGATATAAAACCAAGGAGAGATGAAACCTGGAGAAATTCTAAAAGACCGGGAAACCCAGTAACTTAGACACAACAGAAGGAGAGATAAAACCTAGAGGACAAAAAGCCTAACTATCTCATTCACTAATGCCGCACACCCATATTTGAAGAAGGAAGAAGAAAAAGAGAAAGGGAAGAAGAAGGGGGGGGAAAGAAGAGGTGTAATAGGGTGAAGAAAAGAATTTCTTAGAAGAAGAAGGAAGAAGAAGAAGAAGTGAAGACTTAGAAGAAGCAGAAGAAGAGAAGAAGAGAAGAAGAAGAAGAAGAAAAGAAGAAGAAGAAGAAGAAGAAGAAGAGCAAGCAGAAGAAGAATGAAGAAGAAAGAAGAAGAAGAAGAAGAAGAAGAGAATGAAGAAGAAGAAGAAAGAAGAAGAAGAGAAGAAGAAAAGAAGAAGAAGAAAGAAGACGAATTCAAGAAGAAGACAAAGAAGAGATAGAACTAGTGAAGAAACTACAAGAAGAAAGAGAACAGATCGAAGAAGAAGTTCAGACCTGAAGAAGAAGAAGACTATTTCAAGACCGGAAGAAGAAGAAGAAGAAGAAAGCCCAGTAAAAAGAAGGAGAAGAAGAAAAAAGAAGAAAAAGAAGGAGAGAAGAAGAAGAAGACAGAAGCAAGAGAAATAGAAGATAGAAGAGGTCGACTGAAGCGAATCAGAAGGATGGAAGAAAGACACGAAGAATATCTGAGGATAAGAATAAGAAGAAGAAGAAACTAGATAAAACAGACGCTCTCAAGGATGCTGGCGTCAATAAGAACAGAACTACATAACAGAAGAAGAAGAAGAAGAAGAAGAAGAAGAAGAAGAAGAGAAGAAGAAGAAGAAGAAGAAGAAGAAGAAGAGAAGAAGAAGAAGAAGAAGAAGAAGAAGAAGAAGAAGAAGAAGAAGAAGAAGAAGAAAAGAAGAAGAACAAGAAGAAGAAAGAAGAACGAAGAAGAAAAGAACTTTTTTTTTCAAAGGGTCACAAATTGGGAAGAAGAAGCAGGCCCGTCTTACATTCGGCCCTTTCCGTCAACCATCTTTCGCACAGCAGTTGAAGAAAACCCACGCGCCCATACACACACCCATATACATACATACATACACCCACATACACACGCTAACCCACTCACTTACACACACATAAATACATGAATGTATACATTACATACATACAGGCATACATACAGGCATTCAAACATATACACATACATACAAACATACATACAGGCATACACACATACATACAGGTATACATACATACACCCAAACATACATACATACAAACATACAGGCACACATACATACATACATAATACAGGCATACACACATACATACACACATAAATATATACGTACATACATACAAACATACAGTCATAAATACAGGCATGCATACAGTCATGCATGGAGACACACACATGCACACACGGACACTCCCACAGAGACACAAACACACACACTTAGAGAAAAATACAGACACACACACAGACACTTACATATAAACACACACAGGGAAACACACGGCAGACATATATACATTTGTGCTCACACACTGACACATACATACACACATACGAAGACAAACATACAGACACATACATACAGCCACATAGACACACACGCAGTCAAACACACGCACACAAATACAGACAAACAAGGCAGACAAACACATACTGACACCCACACAAACACGCAGAAATGGATAAACAGACAAACACATAGAAATACACACGCAGATACATATATACAGCACGCACAGACATATACTCTGACATGCAGACACATGCACACAACAAAGGTGCACACACAATACACACAGAGAAACACACATAAACACGCACACACAGACAGACACATGCTGACACATACACTCACGCAGACATACAGACACTCACCCACAGAGATACATACATACAGCCTCATGGACACACCCGCAGAAAAATACACATAAATATACACAGGCAAACATGCAGGCATACACATACGGGGACACACACGAAGATATACGCACAGTCACATCAAAGAAGAAAGAAGAAGAAGAAAAAGAAGAAGAAGAAGAAGAAGAAGAAAAGAAGAAGAAGAAGAAGAAGAAGAAAAAGAAGAAGAAGAAGAAGAAGAAGAAGAAGAAGAAGAAGAAGAAAAAAGAAGAAGAAGGAGAGAGAAGAAGAAGAAGAAGAAGAAGAAGAAGAAGAAGAAGAAGAAGAAGAAGAAGAAGAAGAAGAAGAAGAAGAGAAGAAGAAGAAGAAGAAGAGAAGAAGAAGAAGAAGAAGAAGAAGAAGAAGAAGAAGAAGAAGAAGAAGAAGAAGAAGAAGAAGAAGAAGAAGAAGAAGAAGAGAAAGAAGAAGAAGAAGAAGAAGAAGAAGAAGAAGAAGAAGAAGAAGAAGAAGAAGAAGAGGAAGAAGAAGAAGAAAAGAAGAATAGGAAGAAATAGAAGAAGAAAAAGTGATAGTAGTAATTTTAGTAGTAGTGATGTTGGTGGTGATAGCAATAGCGTTAGGGATATTAGTAGAAGTGCTCGTGATGGTGATAATAGTGAGCTAGCGGGAAACGGAAAAAAAAAAATGAGTGAGAAGAGAAAAGAAATACGGTTAAGACAATAAGCAGTTTTCCAGGGACCTGCAAAAACAGCAAAAATATAGGAATGAGGATGGTTCTTGTGGTGCAGGGGCACAGGATATAATTTTGTATGACCCAGGCAGTAAATATGTATATCGTGAGATAAAGGTCAGAAACACTTAAACAGACCATCTGCGAACAAGTCATATTCTGAGTCAAACTGATAGATATAATCAGCATATTCAACATCTGCCCAATTTGTAACCCTTTGAAAATTAAGTTCGTTAGTTCGTTCGTTCGTTCGTTGTGTTTATGTTTCCAAACACAGAGCTAGAGTGCTTCGATAGTAATACATTACCAGTCGACAATGTGTTCGAAAAGGTCATGTGCTAACCACTGCAGCTAACAAAGATGAGAATTCGTCTTCCATTTAAAGCAACCTACACCTGGAAATCTATGTATAACACAATCTATCTAATGAACGTACCGCCAAAACATGAAACCAACGAGCCACTCCATTCTCGATTCAGTCACCCTAAACTCTGAGACTCCTGTTAGCAACAACAAGTCAGGACTACATGTTTCAAGTGTCACTGCCGCAGACCAGAAATGAGGTTTATTTTCCTGTGCTGGACCTTTTATCAACGTTTCGACTCGCTTTGCCCTTTCCCACAGGTCCCATCTGCAAACCTGGTAGTTTGAATTCGCAAGTGTTGCCAAACTAAAATTATTATTACAGGCTAACAACCTACTCCACCAGCTTGTTACATCAGTGGTAGTAATGATAGTAGTAGTGGGTCTGGTTGTATTAGCAGTGGTAGGGGTAGAAGTTGAAGTACTAGGGGTGGCAATAGTAGTAGTGGTATTGGTCGTAGTAGCAGAGATAGTAGTAGTGGTAAGGATAGTATAAGTGGTATTGGTAGTAGCAGTGTTGATGGAAGTAGTGATTGTTGTGGTGGTGGTCGTAGTGGCAGTAGCGGTGGTGAAATTTGTAGAAAAGTACGAGCAGCATTATTAGCTCTAGCAGCAGTAGCACAAAAGCAGTGATAGTAGTAGTCAGCAGCAGGAGCTGTAGCATTGATAAAAGTAGTGGTAATACTAGTAGTAGTAGTAGCAGCAGCAGCAGCAGTAGCATTGATAAAAGTAGTATTAATACTAGTAGTAGTAGCAGCAGCAGTAGCAGCAGTAGCATTGATAAAAGTAGTAGTAATACTAGTAGTAGCAGCAGCAGTAGCATTGATAAAAGTAGTAGTAATACTAGTAGTAGCAGCAGCAGTAGCATTGATAAAAGTAGTATTAATACTAGTAGTAGTAGCAGCAGCAGTAGCAGCAGTAGCATTGATAAAAGTAGTAGTAATACTAGTAGTAGCAGCAGCAGTAGCATTGATAAAAGTAGTAGTAATACTAGTAGTAGTAGTAGTAGTAGTAGTAGTAGTAGTAGTAGTAGTAGTAGTAGTAGAAGTAGTAGTAGTAGTAGCAGCAGCAGCAGTAGCATTGATAAAAGTAGTAGTATTACTAGTAGTAGTAGCAGCAGTAGCAGCAGTAGCATTGATAAAAGTAGTAGTAATACTAGTAGTAGTATCAGCAGCAGTAGCAGCAGTAGCATTGATAAAAGTAGTAGTAATACTAGTAGTAGCAGCAGCAGTAGCATTGATAAAAGTAGTAGTAATACTAGTAGTAGTAGTAGTAGTAGTAGTAGTAGTAGTAGTAGTAGTAGTAGTAGTAGTAGCAGCAGCAGTAGCATTGATAAAAGTAGTAGTAATACTAGTAGCAGCAGCAGTAGCATTGATAAAAGTAGTAGTATTACTAGTAGTAGTAGCAGCAGTAGCAGCAGTAGCATTGATAAAAGTAGTAGTAATACTAGTAGTAGTAGTAGCAGCAGCAGTAGCATTGATAAAAGTAGTAGTAATACTAGTAGTAGCAGCAGCAGTAGCATTGATGAAAGTAGTAGTAATACTAGTAGTAGCAGCAGCAGTAGCATTGATAAAAATAGCAGTAATATTAGTAGTAGTAGTAGCAGCAGCAGCAGTAGCATCAATAGCAGTAATACGACTTGTGGTAATAGTAGCAGCAGCAGCAGTAGCATTGATAAACGTAGTAGTAATAGTAGTAGTAGTAGTAGCAGCAGCAGCAGCAGCGGCAGTATCAATAGCAGTAATAAGATTCGTAGTTATAGTAGCAGCATCAGCAGCAACAGCAGCAGTATCAATAGCAGTAATACAATT